TTTTTAGTAAGTGAGGACCGTGGTAAGACACATAAAAGACATAGCAGAGTTTACTCACATTCTTAACAGCTAGACCTAGTAACCGTAGAGCAATTGAGCTGTGTTCTGCTGTTGATGAGAGCTAATAGCATTTTTCTACAAGAGAGAGATTACATGTAAGAGGAGTCAGCCCTTGCAACAAGCCTGAGCACCGTGTCTTCCCCTTTATTCACCCTGCCAGTACCTTTTGGCTTCCAGAACTAAACATCACATGACTCCCAGCCTCCAAGTCCATTGGTTGGTCTAAATGTCAACAGGGTTAAAGAAACACAATCTTGGTTGAGGTACCTCGATGTCTGCCTACCTCCTCCTCAGATAGTCAAGTGAGAAAATATCCATGTTATGGGTCACATCGGCTGAGGGTATAAAATAGCTGGGGGAGGAATTTTTCTCTGTCACATAAACAATGGTGCTATTAGATAGCTTGCATACTGTTAAGCCAACAGCGCTCCTAAGTAGGTCTGCCCAGCCAAGAGAAGATCAGAAAAAGGTAGACTCCCAGAAAACTAGCACTAGGTAGGTTCCTATTGTATCCTTCAGTCATAATACCAGATGAAGAACTTATCAAAACTTATAGCCACGAAGACTGTGTCCAGAAGCCTTGGGTAGGATATTATATAACTCCCATTTAAATCTCTCACCCATGACCAAATGTGGGATGAGAATGGAAACGTTCTCATCTCCGCCCAGATTCCGAGCAGGAGCACTCCTGACTTGTTGTGCACTGTCTGCTCCTTACCATCAGTAACAAAAGCTGCTTCCCATGTGCTACCATGGATTCAGGTTCTGACTGTAATCAAAGTAGAGCAAGCCATATTCGCTATTTCCTAAAATTTCTAATATTCTCCTGGCTCTCCAGATATAGGGTTCAACCTAGAAGTCCTCCACAGATTTGTTGTGTGGTACCTTGTACTTAGTGCAGCAAAGCAGGCTCTTAGGGTGTTGACACTCATTATGTGATTTTTTTTCTCACCTTCTTCCATAGTCTTGTCTATCAATAAGTTCAAGTTTCCGAACTTGAGACCACATTAACTCTTTTTTATTGTGATGGCTATGTCAAGATGACATGCTTCCTAATGCCACAAGTCAGGAAGTAGCTGTAACTGACCAGGAATGAGCCCAACCCTTAGGGGTAGATTTTGCATGCCTCAGCATAGTGGAAGAAATCAGACCTGAGAGGACTACGCTGAGTAATGTAGCTGTATTAGCAGCCACTACTCGGAACCAAGGAATGATTTTGAGGGGCAGAGAGCGTGTCCCACTTACACTACCATAGTAAGTCACCTAGTGCTATCCAGGGAGATGGCTGCGGTGAGTTCTTTGCCGAGTGGAGCTATTTGGTAGAGAAGGCCGTCTCAGCTGCTATATTTCAAGTCTACCAAGGGCGACCAACATCATCTGGCAGAGCACGTGCCATTTTCGGAGTTTAAAACAAGTTTTCTAAATGCGTCTTTTCGCAGTCTGAATATGGCTTAAGTTTTTTCTGTGTCAAGATATAAAAAGAGATGTAACTATTTTGCATATGGTTGAATCTTGCTGGGTGGTAGAATAAATTCTACAAGTTGATTAACTCTTAGATCCCAGGGGGAAACACTAAGACGATGTAGGAATACTTTACTTAAGTAAAGCTCTCAACTACGAAGTAAAGATTGGCAGTTCAAAACCACCCAGACAACTCAGGAGATAAAAACTCAGTGCGGTTGTGTCAATTCTGACGTAGTGACCCGATTGGAGTAGAACTGCCCCCTGTGAATTTCTGAGACTGTAACTTTTCAGGGGGGTAAAAAGCTACGATACATGGACAATGTGCTCTGATGGGTCTCAACCTTGAGAACCCTCGGGAGTAGCTCTCTCCTGAAGCAAATAGGATTCCCATGCATCAGACTCAAAGTGAAGACCACAACAACAACACATACACCTTCTATGCACCTGGAACTATAATAAATTAAATCTAAATAGTAACCGAGTCAACACTTTACAAAACAGGATTTTTCATTTTATTATTTCCATGATAGAAAAGTAGGTGGAAACTTCAAAATTATTTCAGTAAAATTTCTTCATTGAATATTTTTATAAAACAAATTTATTTTTGGAAAGGAAATACTTTTGTCTTAAATCTATTAATTGATTTTTAATATACTTAATGCAGTAACATTTCTTCATATTTTAATAAAAACGATTACACTGCTAGTTTTGGAAACACACATACTAAAACTGGAATGATACAGAGAAGATTTATTGGAGAGTAGTTGACCATGGAGATCACATGATAGAATTTTGCAAGATCAATGAGTTTATTTGCATGTGATATTAATTATGCTGCTCTATAATTCGAGAATTCGGTTGGGTCACCGTTCTTTGGAATGGATACAAATAGGGGTCTCTTCCAGTCATCTGTTGAAGTAACTATCTTTCAAATTTCCTAGCATCCATGAGTAAGTGCTTCCAGTACGTTATCGGCTTGTTGAAACATTTCATTTGGTATTCCATAGCAAATACTTTCTTTCAGCGACACAAAAGAACAGATTTGACACATTGATCACTAATGGCAGAAGATCTGACGAGCTGTAGGAGGACCTCAACACCGTCACTCATAAAGACAGGAAAAGGTCATTAAAAAGACAGGAAAGGAAGAAAGAAAAGATCAGAGTGGATGTCAGAAGAGCCACCCAAACTTGCTCTTAATCGATCATAGAGTAGCTAAGGACATGGAAGAAATGATGAAGTCAAAGAACTAACTAGAAAATTTCAAAGGGTAGCTTGCGAAGGCAAAGTCAAATATTATAATGAAATGCGCACAGCCATAGAGTGAGAAAATCAAAAAGGAAGAACCTGTTCAGCATATCGTACGCTGAAAAAAAATGAAGAATATTTCCAAGCCTCAGGTTGTAATATTAAAGATTCTACGGGCAAAATATTTACAGGTAGAGGAAGTACCAAAAGAAGATGGAAAGAATACACAGTCACTGTACCCAAAAGAAGCAGTTGATACTTTACTATTTTAGGGAGCAACATATGAGCAAGATTCAATGATATTGAAGGAAAAGTCCACACTGCACTGAAAGCATTATCCGAAAACAAGGCTCCAGAAATGGATGGCATACCAAGGAAAATGTTTCAACAGGCTGACGGGACACTGGAAGCAATTGCTTGTCTATGCCAAGAATTTTGGAAGACAGCTACTTGGCCAGCTGTCTGGAAGAGATTTATTTGTACCCATTCCAAAGTAAGGTGACTTAACAGGATGCTCAAATTATAGAACAATATCACTGATGTCAAATGCAAGGAAAGTTTTACTGAAGATCATCCAACAATGGTTACAGGAGTATATTGACAGAGAACTGCCAGAGGTTCAGGCTGGATTCAAAAGAGGACATGGAACATGGGATATCATTTCTGATGGGCATTCCAGAATACATGATTAAGCTCCTGTAGAAATTGAACATATGAGGGGATACCCAAGAAACCCAGATGCTCACTTGTTTTTTTGATGTGAGGAGGATAGTGCATTTGGACCTGCATTTCCACCAGGTCAGACTATTAATCAAGCTTTCTATTTAGAGGTTCTAAAGAGATTGTGTAACAGTGTGTGACAAAAAATGCCTGATTTGTGGCAGACGGGGGACTGGTTTTGCCACCACACAATAATGTACCTGATTAAGCAGCCATCTCTTTGCTCTGGTCTTTGGCAAAAAAAAAAAAAAAGAACCCCAGCATGCCTCTCTTGCCCCACTGGCCTTACTCACCTGACCTTGCTCTGTGTGACTTCTTTTGTTTCCACAACTGAAGAGGGACATGAAAAGACAGCGATTTAATGATGTCAAAGAGGTGAAGAAAAAAATGAGGGAGGTGGTGGTGTCCAAACAGATGAGTTTGAAAAATGTTTCCAAGAATGGAATCTCAGATTTGACAAAAGGAATGTGTAATGGATAGTACTTTGAAGGTGATTAGGATGTTTTGTAAAAAATTTAAATACACATCTTTCAAATAAACTCCCGTTTTGTTTTTTTTTAGTACCCTCTCATAGATCAAGAGGCAGTTGTGTGACTAGAACAATGAAACTACATGGTTTAAAATCAGGAAAGGTGTGCATATGGGTTGTATCCTCTCACCATACTCATTCAATCTGTATTCTGAGCAAATCATGAGAGAAGCTGGATTGTATGACAGTGAAGGTGGCATTAGGATGGGAGGAAGCTTATTAACAACCTGTGATGTGCAGATGATACAACTTTGCTTGCTGAAAATGAAGAGTAATCGAAGTACTTGTTGATGAAGATCAAGGATTGTAGCCTTCAATATGGATTATACCCCAATGTAAAGAAAACCAAAATGCTCACAACTGGACCACTCAGTAGACAACATCAGGATGAATGGGGAAAAGTTTGAAGTTGTCAAGAATTTTGTCTTGCTTGGCTCCACAATCATTGCTCATGGAAGCAGCAGCCAAGAGATCATTAGGTAAATCTGCTGCACAGACCGGTTTAGAGTTTTGAAAAGTAAGGATGTCACTTTGAGGACAAAGATCCCTTGAGCTAAGCCATAGTACTTTCAATTGCCTCCTATGCATGTGAAAGTTTGACGTTGAGTAGGGAAGACCAAAGAAGAATTGCTGCATTTGTAGCACGGTGCTGGAGAAGAATATCGACAGTACCACGGACCGCTAAAAGGACAAACCAATCTGTCTTGGAAGAAGTACAGCAGATTGGTCCTTAGAGGCAAGAATGGTGAGACTTTCTCTCACATAGTTTGGACCTGTTGTCGGGAGTAAGCAGTCCCTGGAGAAGAACATCGTGCTTGGTGAAGTGGAGGGGCAGCAACAAAGCACAATTCCTCTGGGACACGGAGGGACACAGCGGTTACAACAGCGGGCTCAAGCACAGGGACAACTGTGCAAATGGCGCAGGCTGGACATTGTTTCATCTGTTGTGCACAGGGTCACTATGGGTGGGAAATGACTTGATGGCTCCTAACAACAACAACAACAACAACAACAACAACAAACAGAGATTAGCACGGTCCCTGCTCAAGGATGACACCCAAATCCGTGAAGGGTTCTATTTTTATTATTGAAAGTTTTTCCCTATCACTAACTCCCACTGTATGTGTAAAGAATGTCTAATCACTTAAGAGTTTACTCTGTACAAGACAATAATTCATGTACTGGGGTCCATCGCTGGTCTATATGCATATTATTTCTTTTTCTCAACAGCGTTTTAAATTTTATACCACTGGCTAACATAATGACACTATCAATGAGTAATTGTTAATCATTAGGCTTCTAACTGCAAGATCAGTAGTTTGAAATGAACAGCCACCTGCTTGGAATAACGATGAGGCTTTTTACTCCTATAAAGATTTACAGTCTCACAACTTCACAGGCACAGTTCTACCCTGCCCTGTAGGGTTTCTATGAGTCAGCATTGCTTTGATGGCAGTGATGCCCCAGCGAGATGACTGAGAATGTTCTCCAACATAAAACAGCAATGATGTCTTACGGTGAACTACAGGCATGGTAGTTAAATAATATGTTGTCAACCTGCGAAGCCTGTCAATCAGGTTGCACCTTGATGACCTCATTTGGAGGTGCCACAGAGATAAATAGCTGACAGGAGGCCAGATACACACTGACACTTTCTGCTTCATCTTCCTGGTGACAACATTCATGAAGTTACGCTAGAGTCCTGGAGCTGGAGGAGCCATGTGGAGACCCATGCCAGTGCTGAGATGCTTTCACTGCCACTGGATCCACAAGACGTTCCACTCACTGGCCTGTGATCTTCCTGAATCTGGCATCATTGCATGTATTGCATGAGTCTTAAAAGGAATTTATAGATTGGTATCAGACATATTGGCTAATATTGGACTTATGATTGGTATCAGGCACATTGGACTAATATTGGATCTGGACTGGGCTGGGATGTTTTCTTAATATATAATTACTCTTTGATATAAATCTTTTTCTTATACACATGAGTGTCTATGAATTTTGTTTCTCTAGTCAACCTGGACTAAAACAACAAGCATATATAAATCATAGATATATGAATAAATTTAGGGCTTGCACTTAATTTTAGCTCCAATCTAAGAATAACTAGTTCTTATGATATGGCCCTGCTGGATGAATGGACTCATGAAGAGATCACTGCTATAGCTAAATGTGGTCAAGAAACTAGATGATTCTTGGCTATCAAAATAATAGCATCTGGGTTCTTAAAGGCTGTCTTTAAATGAGCTGTCATTTAAATGAGGCACCAATGCAGTCCACATGGAAAAACCACTTCATCCTGTGTGATTCAAGGATTGTGAATAATAAAAGGAAAATCCTAAGGAGAAAATGGTTTCAGAGCTTAAACTGTGAACACTTGGTTTGCAGAAAGCTGTGATGACAGTGGAAACCCCAAGTTCATTTGTAGGACCAAGTGGATTCAAACTCCAGTGACTTCCCTCTGGTCATAGTTAAAGGAGGTGAATAGCTTTGCTGCTAGACAGAGTACTGTGTCTGGCAGCTGTAGTTAGGTTAGTCTTATCATTTGATCTCCCTTCTGACCCATTTTAAAGTTGTTTCAGTTAAAAAAAAAAGGGAAAGGGAAACGTATGTGGATTAAACCTTAAGTGGATACCCCCTGATCATAGACTAAGGATGTGAACAGTCTTGCTATCATGCACTGGAAAGTGGATTATTACAGACCCAGTTAGGTTAAAATTTAACACCTTATCATTTGATGTCCCTTTTCATCCATTTTAAATTTGTTCTAGTTTTGAACGTTTTCTTCTTTCTTTTCAATTGAGATGTTCATCTGTTTCACTTTGATATTGTTGTAGTTTTTTTTTGCACCTACTTTTGAATTTATTCCAGTCATTAAATAGCACAATAAAATGATTACTATTTGAAGAAGAACAAATTATTTTGGATCTTCTCAAGAATATACTGTGTGTCATTAACTAGAAAATCTATTAACTGAGCCCATGGATAAATTCTGTGTCTTTTTTTTTTTGCTTCCTGTATATGAAATCCAGGAAAGGTAAATCTATAGAGCCTGGATTAATGGTTCTTGGGGGTGTGGCAGGGGAGGTGGGGGGTGGATGGGAGTTAATAATAATAATGAGTACAAGAACAAAGAAAATTTTCTAAAATCGATTGTGGTGATGATTTTATAACTCTTCTTAATGTGACTGAACTATTAAATTGTATGATATATATTGTATGCAAATAAAACTTTTAAAAAGTGATGACATGTACTATGTTTGAATAAGAAAATTCAGAAATTGAAAATGATATACCACATAAAGTAAGAATCTCAATAAGTCCTTGTCTTCCCTTTGTTTACTCCAGTGTCAATGACTGCTATCAGTTGTTATTTTCATGCAACTGAGATTTTAAATAAATGCATATTAATTAGCATCTATTTTCTGTGTTGGATTGTTCAAAGTGGCAGACTGTCAGAGTACCAACATAATAAAATACCACAAAATGAGTGGCTTTAAAGAACATAAATGCATTTTCGCACAGTTCTGGAGGCTAAAATCCAAATCAGGATCTCTTCCCTCCTGATTCCTTTCTTGTCGGTAGCACTGGGTATCCTGGGTTCTTTGAAACCCTCAGAGCCAGCACCTGTCTGCCACGCAGGTTAGTGTGAAGCTGAGATTTCGGTGGAGGTTTCAGACTATGATGGACTAGCAAGAAAATCTTGGTGATCGACTTCCAAACACCAGCCAATGAAAAAATGCGATGGGCCCATTCACTGCTGTCCATGGGGCTGACAGTGTCTTGTTCCCTTGTTCGTGAGGTTGCCAGGAGGGGCCAACTCTGGGGTAACCAACAGCTCACTAATAACAAGGACAATATATGCAATTATGTCTATATTTAAATGTTTGAACTGAGATTCATACTTAGCATCAATCATCAAGCATGGTATTTGGTTTTCTTCCCTCCCAGTCTACAAATACCACATTCAGGAAATTCTATTTTCTTTACAAAAAACATCCTTTGCCACAATTGACTCATTCCGACAAGGATCAGAGGCCACCTTGTGAATTTGTTTTGAAAGCAAGAAATGATGGTCTATAAGCAAGGTTATTTTTTAACATAACATATGTCAGTCTCCCTGTACAAATAAAGATTTGCTCTTGTGTAAATCTGTGGGAATAGCATAAAAAATTAAAACTCATATTTTTTGGCTTTTAATTATTTAATACAAATAAAGTCAAAACCTATGCACCAAGAATATGAAACAGACTTTCAAATTTTTATAGAAATCGGATTTACTAAACTGAGATTAAAGGAACCTCAAATTTAATACATCATTTTATTGGGGGGTGTGTGTCTTACAGCTCTTATCACAATCCATACATCAATTGTATCAAGCACATTCGTACATATGTTGCCATCATCATTTCCAAAATATTTTCTTTCTACCTGAGCCCGTTTGTATCAGCTCCTCTTTTCCTCCTCTCTCCCTCCCTCCTAACCCTCCCGCCCTCGTGAACCCTTGATAATTTCTAAATTATTTTTATTTTCATATTTTACACTGTCTGCTGTCTCCCTTTGCCCACATTTGTTGTTCATCCCCCTGGCTGGGGTGAGGGGGTTATACATCGATCATTGCAATTGGTTCCCCCTTTCTTCCCTTCTCCTCACCTTCCCCCTACCCTTGTTGTACGCTACTCTCATTATTGGTCCTGAGGGGTTTATCTGTCCTGGATTCTGTGTGTCGAGAGCTCTTATCTGTATCAGTGTATATGCTCTGGTCTAGCCAGATTTTAAGACAGAACTAGGGTCATGATAGTTGCGGAGGGGAGAGGGTGTGCATTAAAGAACCAGAGTAATGTTGTGTGTTTTGTCAGTGCGATAACCCTTCTGTGAGGGTCATTTTGTTTACAGAGGGGCTTTGGCTCTCCATTCTGAACTCCTTGTTTGCATAGAAATGGTTGTTTGTTTTGGGTTGTCTGATGCCTGATACTTGATCCCATGGACACCTTGTGATCACATGGGCTGGTGTGCTTCCTCCATGTGGGCTTTGTTGCTTCCCTGCTAGAGGGCTACTTGTTTAACTTCAAGCCTTTAAGACTCCAGATGCTATATCTTGTAATAGCTGGGCACCAAAAACTCACAGCTTTAAAAAAACTAATTAACCTACTCAGGAACAGAAAATTCCACTAAGATTACCAAGGAATATGAGTTTGTTCAAGTACAGACACACTTAAACACAAACATTTTTTAGGGCATTGCTTGAAGCAAAAAAACCTTGTAAAGCTTAACTCATCCTATTAAATACTTACTATGACATCTACATGCTTACTCCTTTGTCAAGAAATGGTATTTTCATTAATTTGTGATAGAGAAATCACAGTAAGCTTCCCAGTGGAAGACTAACGGGGTTAAGAGATTTGTGTGCTGGGATAAGCTGCCATTTCCTTTTGTCTTCTTCTCAGTTTCCAGGGCACAGTTTAGTTAAATGGCTTACTCCTTCCTGGTGAGAAGGTTAAAATGTCAATGGGAAGGATGCCTGAGCGTGCTAACAGTGCATGGAATCTGGGCATAAAATATTAAGACAAATCCTCCTGGGTTGTCAGTATTTTAGCAGCATGCTGCAGTCCGTGGATTTGAACAAACTTCCAGTTTGTAAAACTGGCCTCTATCTGTCAAAAGGATGCTACTGCTCAATGTATAAGGATGTAAAATTAGGAAATAGGCAAAATCATAAACATTAGAAACAATTTCTTATTATGGAATGTTGTTGTTGCTAGTTGCTATTGAATTGGCTCTAAAAGATAGAGACTTTATGAATAAAAGAATGAATATATGCCAGCCTGAACCATCTCCCTGACTTTTGATATACTTGAGTCTTATTGATGCCACTGGGCCACTTCATCTCATTGAGAGGCTCCCCCCATTTGGCTGACCTTCTACCTCATCAGGCACGGTACCCTTTTCTAATGGTGGGTCTTTCTTGATGATCTGCCCAAAGTGAGGGAGCCAGTCTTGCTAAGAATTATTCTGCTTGTATTTTTTTCTAAGACCGATTTGTTCATTTTTCTCGCAGTTTACAACACATTCAATATTC